CAATCCTAAAGATATTAATAATCATAATTTTGTAATTAATTTAGCTCTGGTACCAATAGATAGAATTTAAATAATTTGATAGATAAAAATTATATCATATATTTATAGTTGTGGTAGATCAAGAGTGGTGTATCGTGTAAGATTGATGAGATTGTCATCGGAGATAGTGAGTATGAGAGGATTACTACCCTCATTTTCGTTTAGAGTTTTCAGTGTATACTAATCGTCTAATGAGGCAATACTTAAATAACTAAACGGATGAAGGTAGAGATCTCTCATTAGAATTAAATGAATGGTTCAACCCATCACGGTTCATTCATACAAAAAAAATCAATTAAGTAATTAATCAACAATTAGTGTTATATAACAATTGACTATAATAAAATTTATTAATAATTAATTATGCCATTTCATATTTGATTAACTAAATAATTAATCTAACATACTGCTTTCGGGCTTGATGAGTTTTTGCGAGTTTCTCACTGCGAGGTTACAAAAGAAAGGTGAAGCATCCTCCAAACTAACCATGAAGGAACTAGTGAAGTAAAGAGGGAAAACTTGAGCGCATTAACCCATGAGTATAAACTCTTCAGAATGAAACCTAGAGAGCATAAATCAAATTCAAATATGATTCACCCGTATCGTGAGTCATATGAGAACTCTAGTAAAAAAAATTCAAATGAAGAACTAGTTGTAAAATTTCTTAAATGCCTAAAATGCAATAAGGATGTATTATTGAATTGAATGATAATAACTGAATTACAAACTATGTATTTATATACAACTAACTTGTCTATTAAGTAAAGTAACAAACTAAGTAACAAATCCTAAACCTTAATTAATTTTGCTTGGGATTGATATGTGTGCTTCACTTGAGCAATATCTTACTTCAAGTTCACCTCGATTCATCTTCTCCCTTAACAAGTGAAATCTACCTTTGATGTGGTTACTCCTTCCACGCAAAATCGGGTTCTTTGCTAGATTTATGGCTGACTTATTGTCGATTTGAAGTACCAAAGATTTCTTCACTTTGACCTCCATTTCTTCATGCACATATTTGATCCAAATTTCTTGACACATAACATAGGATCCTGCTATATTTTCAGCCTCACACAATAACAATGCCACCATAGGTTGATTTCTCGAGCACCATGATATTGGTTCACCAAATACTTTAAATAAATATCCAGTTGTATTTTTTCTGATCCTCCTTATCTTCACACCAATCAGCATCTGAATAGCAAGTAACCGTAGCTTCTTTACTTTCAAAGTCTCGTCGAAATAGAATTCCATAGTTTGTTGATCCTTTTAAGTATCTCAGAATTCTTCTTGCATCCTTCATGTGTGACACCCTTGGATCAATCATGTATCTACTCACTAATCCGACCGAGAAATATATACCAGGTCGACTATTGCACACATATCTCAGAGATCCGACAATTTGTTTGAAAAAAGTTGCACCGACTTTTTTTTCCTCTTTATGCTTCTCCAACTTTAATTTATGAATTATTTGTACCAACTACTTCATAGTCTTGGAGTCTTTCTGGATGAGCTCTAGTTCTTTGAGGTCTTTGACTTGTGCTAGCCATATCCTCTTCGACTTCGACTGTGTCGGGTATGTCAGCAACAACTTCAATGTCAACTGGAATATATACAATATCTTCGACTTCGCCATCATTACATGATTCTTCAAAATCATAGCTCATAAATGGCTTGTCAATTGCATTACTAGAAGTCCAATTCTAGCAGAATTTTCATCAATTATAATATCTCGACTAATCACAATCTTTTGATTAATTGGAATGGACAACCTATATGCACCGGTTCTATGATATTCTATCAAAATCATAGTTTCACTCTTGTCATCAAGCTTCCTTCTTCTAGCATCAGGAACATGTTTGGAAAGAATAGAGTCAAACACCTTCAGATAGCTCACTGATGGTCGTTTTCCACTCCACACTTCTTCAGGAACATTGTTCTTCAGCTTCTTTGTAGGGAACTTGTTCAGAATATAGACAGCAGTCGAAACAGCTTCAACCCATAAGGGTTTTGGCAAATTCTTCTGCTTCAGCATGAATCTCGCCATGTCTAATATGGTCTTGTTTCTTCCTTCTGCTATTCCATTGTGTTGAGTAGTATAAGGAGTAGTTACCTCATGATCAAAACCATGTTCTACACAGAATGCTTCAAATATCTTGGATGTGTATCCGTCATATTCATCTGTTCGTAGAACCTTAATCTTCTTTTCACTATGTTTTTTGAAAAGTATCTTGAATCTCTTGAAGATTTCAAATACTTCATCCTTGCGCTTGATCACATAGATCCACAGCTTTTGACTGTAGTAATCAAAAAATGAGACAAAATACGTGTTTCCACCAATGGTATGTTCTTCAAAAGGACCACATACATTTGAATGTACAACTTTGAGTATATAGGATGATCTCATTGGCATAGTCGAAATGAAAGACTTCCTGGAATGCTACCCGACTAGATAACCTTCACAGAGTTTGTCGGGTATCTCCAGACTTGGTATACCAACTACCATATCTTGAATGATCAATTGATTGAGCGACCTAAAGTTGAGATGGTCAAACCTCAGATGCCACTACCAACTATTCTTATAGTCCACAACTATTTTCAAACATTGTACCTCAGTCGAACTGATCATGGTCCTAAATGTTATATTCTTTGACAGAGGAGATTTCGAGACCAATTTATTCTAGATGTAAAAAAGTTCTAAGGCTCCATCTTTCATAACCACTAAGATCCCCTTTTCGACCAGTTGTCCAACACTTAGCAGATTGCACTTCATTCCAGAGACATAGAGTACATCTTTGATCAAGGCTTTCACTCAATTATTCCTTTGAATAAGTATGTTGTCAGTACCTTCTTCTTGCAACGAGCTATCATTAGCAAGTTTAACTTAGATCTTCTTCGACTCGTTGAAATATACTAACCATACTTTTCGGTCAATCATGTGATTCGAGCAGCCTGAGTCGAGGAACCAGGTCTTGGATTCGGCATGATCATCTGCACCTGCAGCCATAACCACCATATCATAAACATCATCTGAATCTTAAGGTGCAAGGTTCGCTCCTTCGTCCTTGTCTTTTGTTAATCCTTTGTCTTTCTTGTACCAACATTGCTTGGCCAAGTGACCTCACTTTTCACAATTATAGCACAATACCCCTTTTCTCTTCTTTGTCTTTCTAATAGGAATTTCTTTCTCCTCTATTCGAGGATTTATAAGCTCTATCATCGACCTTATTCTTGTGAGGATTCGACCAAGATTTCTTGCCCTGAGTCTTGTCAATTTTTCCTTGAACTTGTTGGAACCACCATTCTTTTTACATGGCTGAGCCTGTAGTTCGTGTATCGAGTCTTGAACTCCTTTCCTTTCGATAATTCTAATTTCATGCACCACCAACGAACCAACCAAATCTTCCAATTTTAGGATTTCAAGATTGTTGGGTTCTTGAATAGCTACTATAATGTGATCAAAGTGAGAGGTTAACATACGCATTACCTTTTCAACTATCATCTTATCAGTTAGGGTTTCACCACAACCCTTCATGAGATGGACGAGTTTCTACACCTTCGACACATAGCCTGCAATGTTTTCGTCTTCTCCAATTGACAACAATTCATATTATCTTCGCAAAGATTGCAACTTGAAAACCTTGACTTTCTCGCCTCATTCATAGTACTTGACAAGAATATCCCATGCCTCCTTCGTCGATTCAGCATGAGCGATTCTGTCGAAATTAGTTGCGTCAACCGCTGATTGGATGTAAAACGTCGCCTTGCAATCCTTCTTCTTGGTGTCCTTGTGAGTTGTTCTCTTTGCATCAGTTGCATCTTCATCAAGCACAAGAACGTTATTAGTAACCACTTCTATGGTTTCATAAAAGTCAAATAGAGATTGCATTTGTTTTCTCCATGGAAGTCAATTCTTGTCGTCAAGAGTTAGAAGAGAGTTTGGTAAATTTTCGTTATCATTCATTTTTGCAGCGATTGATCAACAACAACTCACGATCCCGAAAACACGGTCTCTAATGTGTGATTCTTTAAAACACGATCAAGAATCTAACCGGAACTCTAAATACAAATTTGTTAATGCATAAGACGCCTTTATTGAGGAGAGAAAGAGAGAGAATAAAGTAATAAGGATTGTATTATTAAATTGAATGATAATTATTGAGTTACAAATTATACATTTATATACAACTAACTTGTCTACTAAATAAATTAAATAATAAATTCTAAACTATAATTAACTTTGAACTTGAGCCACATAACTCAACTTGAATTATATCTAATATCTCAAACGGTTTCTGAAATTCAAATAGAATTTGAAGAAATATTTACACTTTAAATTAGTGTGTGGTGTTGGAGATTCAACCGAATACCTCAGTCCTTTGTCTAGCGGCTTTCTACGAAACATATGGACTCCTTGTAAAAATCTTCAGTTAAATAAGGCGTTCACTCATATTTATAGAGAAGATAACATGCGTGCTGATATAAGCTAACCAGTGACATGTGATCTTGGGTTTTCAATTATGGGAATCGATTCTTCATTTCACTTAATAAGAGTTCTATAAAGATAAGTTGGAGCTACTTAATTATCCATTTGCTTGACTTTAATCTTTTGAGAAACAACAGACGAAGAAAGATGCCGGAAGGTAGACCAACACCAAATTCGGTCTTGTTTTATTTTTTTTCCCAGTTTTTTGGTTTGTTAGTTTTCTCTAGATTAAATCTAGTCCCTATGTATAGATATCCTTTTATTCCATTAAAGGTAAACAAAATTGATGCAGATAGAGAATAACCATACAAACTAATCGTTAATAATCTCCAAGACTTATAATATTAATACTAGTCCAGTTTCCTTAACATCTAACCAAACAAAATGGATTTTGTTTCTTGCTTTCTTTTTAAACACCAACGTTGGTTAACAAATAAACCTTATTACTTTTATTACACAACAAGAATTACATGTACTACAAACTTCTTGCTAATCTCTCTTGCGCAGCCATCTGTTTTCTAAACCTGATAATAAACTCCTCAGCTCGTTCATCAATTCCTTCCATTTGAGGTGAACCTAACGCCACCGACTCCCACACATCATCTGATGCACTAGTTTTCTCACATCTCTTACTTGTTCCTTCTAGTTCCACCACTTGTTTCTTCTCTGAAGAATCCTTCGCCGCTATTCCAGTTCGCGGTTTGTAAACTGGTTGTGTATGTGGCTTCAAATACCCTACGTAATCACAAGGCGGCTCTTTGAAGAGCTTATCTATATAAACAGGTGCAGGCTTTTTGTTGAAGCTGGATAATAAACTTCTAACCGTGGTTAACCTTTTGCGTCGAAAACGCTTCGTAGGTGGCTTGGTAGTAGTGGTGATAGTTGTAGTTTTGGTGGTTTTTTTATTCTTTCTTTGTTTTTTCATGGCTTTGGATTTTCGAATGTTGTGAAGTTTACTGCCGAGTTTAGAGGCGAAGGTTTTCCATACCTTTTTAGCAGGTGGAAGTCTTAGACTTATGCAGGACATGGAAGGAGATAAGGAAGAGAGAAATTGGTGGCTAAATTTGTAGGATAATGAGACTAGTGTGTTATAAAACTTTGAGAAAGCGTTCTTTATAACAATTGAGATATTAGATTCGTTTTGAGGAGTGGCTTAGTTATTACGCTGAATATTTTGACATATGCTGCTAAATTCTCCATCAGATCAGATTAGCACCAATGAACTAGCTTAATTATTAAGCAAAGTTAAAATTCATAATTATTTGTCTAGAAATTAAACTCATTAAGATAAAAATTAGTGGAAATGATTACATGGTACATTTATATCAGACACCCAATTTTAACCACTAAAACTATCTCTCTTACTTTTTTGATCACATACACTTTCATAAATATTGAAAATACATTCATATATCTCAAAATACATAATTATATATTTTAGGATACTTCAAATATCATTTTTCTATTTATATAGATTAATAAAAGTTTCTAATAATAAGTGGTTTGCGGTATGCTTTAGACTTATTTTGAAACAAATTTATGTAATTTAAAGATATAAAAATATTGTGTTTCAATTCGATTTTAGATGTTAATTTAAAAAATTTAATCTGATTCGATTTGATTTCATGTAGTTTAATTTAAATTGATTTTTGAATATTCAAATTATATATTTTTATTATTAATAGTATTAATACTATAAGCATACTACAAAATAATAGGTATTCTTTTTTTGTGAACAGGTGAAAAAAGAAAAAGAAAAATTATTTAAAAAATAAAGTCTCACGAAACTCGTACACCGCATCATTATCATCCTCATATTTTGCTAAATAGTCAGCACACACATTCTACTTCCTAAGCATCAAATAGTTGGATTTGTCATTCCATAGAGAGAAACCCTTTAATATTGTAAAGAATCGCGGCATCGTGATGTCAAATATTAACTGACATTGAGATAAACTTGATAGCAGAGTTTGAGTCAGAATAACACATCAGGTCTTTAATGTCAAGTTCTCAGACCATCTCAATCCATGATATAGTGTCATCAGCTCATAATGAATGATGTTTGAATAATCAATATTACCCGCAAAATCGTGAATCCAGTTAGACATAATCCTTTGACACTTGGATCACATCAAAATGTAATTTATTGTATTTTATTGTAATTAGAAAGTCTTTATTAGTCTAGCATTATTAGTTTCTATGTTGGGATATAGCCATTATTATTAGTTTGATTCTTGAATCATGTTGACCAAGGTATCATTGTATATATGTGTACATGTTCATTAGATTATGCAATACGATCAATATACAATTACACATTTTTCTATCTTGGTATCAGAGTACTTAAGTCTTTAAGGCTCTAGATCCAATGCAAACCATGTTATCCGCTGCAAATTCAAACCACATAAATGATCTCTCGTCCATTGTTTTTGTCAAGTTGGACAGAGACAACTATCCAGTATGGAAATCATTGGTGTTGCCTATAATCAAAGGTGCAAGAATGATGGTTACATGTTAGGGAAGAAGGGGTGCCCTAAAGAATTCATCATTGTTGCATATTTAAGCAAAAAATATCCAATCTTGAGTTTGAAGGTTGGAAAGCATATGATCGAAAACTCCTTGGATGGTTTACAAATTCAATATGTACTAGCATAGCAACACAATTATTACATTGTGAAACCTCAATGCAACTTTAGGAGGAAGCTCAAAGTCTAGCCGATGGTCACACAAGCTCCCGAGTTACTTATCTTAAATTTGAATTCCATAGCCCCAGAAATGGAGAAATGAAAATGGAAGATTATTTGATCAAGATGAAGAACCTAGCTAATAAGCTCAAACTTGTAGGAAATCCAGTTCAACATCTGATCTAATCATTCAAACTATGAACAGTTTGGATTCTGAATATAATCATGTAGTTGCCAAGCTATTTGATCAAGCTACACTCAACTGGGTTGATCAACAAGCTCAATTGATGACATTTGAAAGTAGAATTGATCAACTGAATAACCTCACCAGCCTAACCCTTAATGCAACAACAAATGTTGCCGACAAATCTGACCACATATACAACAGGTTCAATTCAAACAATAATTGGAGAGGTTTCAACTTTAGAGATTAAAGAGGAGGCAATGAAAAAGGTAGACCATCCAAGATACAAGGACAAGTTTACGGTAAGGAGAATCATACAAAAATTGACTGCTTTTACAGGTTTGACAAAAATTGCTCAAGATATAACCATTCAACAGAAAATGACAAGGAAGAAACTCACAATGTTGATAACACGAAATCATATAGATATTTTCATGCATAATTCAACTAAAGTCTAACCATTTTCGATCCGATTTCGGGTTATTTCCGCGTATTTGTCTGATGTTTTGCAGGTATTCAACAATCACGTCTAAACAAGGGAACATGAAGAAAAGGAGCAATCTCAGATGAAATATGGACGAAAAAGGAGTGAAAACACAATGAAAAGCGCAACAATCAGTTTTTGCTGATGTGACGATCGTCACAGCTTCATGACGACCGTCACACGGGTGACGACCGTCACACCTTGTGACGACCGTCATGCAGGCAAAAACGCCCCACTCAGATTACACGTCAAAAGAGCAGTTCCAATTCCCATTAAGTGGACCACTACTCCCTAAATTATCTGCCTCAAGGTCCATCATCCTCAGAGATAACCGTTGGGATTCCACTTCTATAAAAAGGGAAGCAGAGGACTTCAGAAAGAGTGCTGCATTCATACCACGAAGTGCTGCCGAATTTAATTTCCAGAGCAAATTACTTTCCAGTTTTATTTGTATTCGTTTCTCTTTACATTTCCTTATTCCCATTTCCGCTCTTTTGTAATTGCTACTGTACTGTACGATCAAATTGGCACTAAAGACCAGAATCCTGCCAACATCTGTGGAGGATCTGCCTAAAGGCCAATTGGCATATTTACAGGTTTTCATTTTGATCGACTTCTGTTTTATTATAATGCAATTTATTATTTATTATTCTTATTTATATTTTGTTTTTCCCAATTCCATGTCTAGCTAAACTTAGGTAATCGATATGTAGTAATAATTCGAATGGGATTTGATAACACTTGGTTGAAAACTTTCTTTTCACAAAAGTAATCTATGGTCTGAGTGTTTAAAATTGATTCACTGAATAAACTTCGTCGCGAAAGCGAGAACTTATTTAAAAGTAGTTTTGCCACGAAAGTGGGAAATTAATTAAGATACGAACCAACAAGCGAAAGCTGCGGTAAGGTCAGATAGTAAACACTAGGCATTTGTTTTAATAACAGCGAAAGCACTTTAAAACGAATTAGAATTTAGAGATTTCCAAAAAATAATTTTAACCCCTAACGGAATACGAAAGTATACGTTTGGCCCTTAGGATTATGATTAGCGTCAATAACCATCGTGAGGCGAGAGTTTTCAAATCTCCATTTTCTGCTTGAATAAACATTGAAAATTATTTCATACACCATAACTTATCAAATCCCTGAAGAACACAATTACTACGTATCGATTCAATTAATTATAATCTAAATAGTAATCTTAGTTCCCTTTTTAGTGACAATCTTACCCCCTTAAACATATTCTACCTAGCTAAACACAGTAACTCCTGAGAACACTAGTTTGATTACGAGTCCCTGTGGGATTGATATCTATTATTACTACGCGATAGACTGTGCACTTGCAGTTAGTTGTATTAGACATAGAAAGTCGCGATCAAGTTTTTGGCGCCGTTGCCGGGGACCCGTTTAGTCAATAGTGTAACCTTCTGTTACGCCGTATAGACTAGGTTAACAATTTTCATTTTTCCTTTACTAGTTCTGTCGATTGTATGCCAAGAAATCGCCCGCAAAGCGATATCGTAAAACCTTCAGTCGCAGAACTAGAACGCTTCTTACATTTAAGAAGTAGAATCATTGAGTACCAACTCAAACAACTCAAACATAACACTCCCGAACCTCTCACTCCCATTCCCAAATCAGAAGAAGAAGAACCAGAAATGGCTGAAGGACCTCCGAACAAACCGCTGAAGGCATACGCTACACCATCTCAGATGGAGCTTAGAAGTAGCATTGCTGCCCCAGCTATTACCCGAAATGATTTTGAGCTGAAACCGTCATTGCTGTCGGCTGTACAACAAAACCAATTCTCAGGAAACACAACTGAGGATCCGAACGAACATCTAACGAAGTTTGTACAATACGTAGACACGGTGAAAGCAAATGGAGTAACTCCAGACGCGATAAGACTTCGTCTTTTCCCATTCTCTCTTAGAGACAGAGCGTGGACATGGTTACAATCGTTACCATCCAACTCCGTTACGACGTGGGAGCAATTGAAGAACGTCTTCTTAGCGAGATATTTTCCACCAAGCAAAACCGCTATGCTTAGAGCTCAAATCAACAGATTTCGACAGAAAGATACTGAATCTCTTTACGAAGCATGGGAACGATTCAAAGATATGATGAGAACATGTCCTCACCACGGTCTAGAAGACTGGGTGACAATCCATACCTTCTATAATGGGCTTCTATACAATACTAGATTGACAATAGACGCTGCCGCGGGCGGTGCACTTATGGATAAGCCATACGATGAAGCCTATCAATTAATAGAAAACATGTCACAAAACCATTGCCAATGGGGAGGTGAACGCACTCCAACTGAGAAAACCACAGCGAAAGGTGGGATGTACGAAATCAGCAGCCTTGAAAAGTTCAATGCTAAAGTAGATGCTCTAGCACAGAAGATTGATAGTCTGACTGTTAACCCCACTGCAACTGTCGCTGCAGTAACTCCAAATTGCGAGTTATGCGGAAGCACCACTCATAATGCACCCGAATGCCCATTGCTAGCCGGAATCCCGCCAGACCAGATAAATTATGCTCAAGGAAATCCCTACGCAAATACCTACAACCCAGGTTGGCGAAATCATCCAAACTTTTCTTACAAAAGCGAAAATGCATTGCAAATGCCTACTGCTCCGCAAGGATATCAGAAACCAGCTGCTCAGAAT